GTGGAGTCGATGAAGAATCTGGTTTGATCACTTCACGATGTTGTAAGTAATGTACGGGACCCGTGAAATTTGCTATCTCTTCATCTGATAATTTTCGAGCTATTCCTCGTGTAATCATATCTTCCATTTGCTTGGCATAATCATTTGCATGTTCTTCTCCCATTTTGCTTAGTCTTCTTTCGGTAGCTTTCAATCTCGCGTATGTAGCTGTGAAATTGTTAGGAAGTTGCATTGGATCTTTTATCCACGGATAGTGAGCAATGAATTTTCTTTGATCTTGATCATATGTTAGGCCTTTCTTGATAAGTAATAGTTCTCTTTCTTCCTGTAAACTGTAATTTCCGTTGCCCGTGGCGCATTTTCCACACTTACATCCGCCACACCTGGGTGTGCAGCACGTCCCGAGATTTTCTACTGTGAAGTACTCATCTAATTTCTTCTTCAAAGTGGTGATTGAGTCAATACGAATATTATTGACATCGCAAAAATTCATGACAGTGTTGGATTCATCATTCTTCATGTCAGATGACGTGTTTCCTGCATTAGAGTGGACGCAACCACGTATACAAAACCCAAATTGGTTTCTTAGTAATTGGATATTTTCTATCGTTTTGACAACTTCTGGTAGAAGGACGCAGCAATCCGTCCCAACAAGCATATCAACTTTACCGTGTGGTCTTTGGATGTCATCTGGTCGAATATGAAACATGTTTGCAATATTGGTCATGTCGATTTCCTTTAATTCTGCTGTAATCTCTTCTATTCCATATGCATGGATTTTCCAACATTTTCCGTCTTCGTCATATAGAGGAACGACGTATCGTTTAGTGGTCAATGCCTGAGATTGATTGCCAATTTTCGTGATCGATAATTCAACCTCTATACCATTGAGATTTAATGTAGCTGCAGTTTTCCGATCGATAAGTGACACATTCGCTCCGGAATCCCATAACACCGCAATTTTTCTCTCGTTGCATATGACATGGCTAACTGCAAGTAATGGCTCTTGTGTTTTCCTTCTAGCCATGTGAATCGCATTGTGATTTGTGTAATCATTGGCTGGAGCTCTGTCAAGATGCAGATAGGGATGATGGCGCTTGCCGCATTTTTGTCGCAGATGATTTAGTTTGTCACATTGATTGACAAAAGGACATGCCATGGCTATATGTCCTTGCTTCAAACAATTAAAACACACTCCATTTTGTTTTAGACTGCAAAGTTTCTCTTCATGACTTGATTTTAAAAATGCGTTACACTTATAAATTGGATGTGCGTCTGTCTTGTGTATCCAACAAATCTTGTTGTCGGCACTGGAGAGTTGTTTCTTTTGATTGGGTTCGTGGTTTCGTTTCGTTCGATCGTTAAATAAATGTTCAATGCGTTCGGTCATGTTTTGAACTTGATTACATAGTTGAATCATGTTGTTCTGAGAATCGTTCGTTTTCATTTCGTTTGGTTCCTTGGAATCGTCGTTCGTTTCGCTGTTCCGCTTCGCAGTATCGACTTCAACGTTATGTACTGTTTTGCTGGCGAATTTCGATTTAGAAGCGGTTGGATTTCGTACGTCATTTTCCATATATTCTATTACCCTTTTTTCCTGAAGTAAATATGATAAAAGTTTTAGAAATATCGAACCGCCTGGTGCATCTAAATGTTCTCGCCGGTCCAGTAATGTGACCCATTCCCGTTTCTGCGTCATCGGAAGTAGCCTTTCTATCATCGTTACCATTGTTGTTGTGTCCATCTCATTTCCCATTCCCATTCTGTTCAGCTCCAACCAGTTCTTCTCTACTATATCCACCATGTGAATAAATTTAACGTGGTCTCCTTCAGCGATAGGTCTTAACACTTTAATTTCGTGTATGATTGAATCAACTAATTTTCGTGGCTCCCCGTACTTCGCGTCTAGTCGCCGAAACATTTCGTCAAAATCGTCTTCTATTCCTCTGATCGTCTCCAATGCGTCGTCCGTTAAACATTGTCGTAAGGCATATGCGTCTTTTCCAAACTGTTTTTTCATTAGCCTATCAAAATCTTTCTTGAAACTGGAATATTGCCGGATATTGCCAGAGAACTGCGGCGCATTTAGAGGTTTGACTTTTATTTCTGAAAATTTAGCATGTTCCTTTTGATTTTTAGTTGCAAATTGCATTCTGACTTCATCCATGTTTGCTTCAATATCAGTCATATATTCGTCACTTTCTTCCAATAATTTATCAATCAAATGATGTGGCCCAGTTTCATTAATTGCTGCGTTGACAAAGTCGTTACACTTTTCGAGTTGGCGGTACGAGTCCTTTATGTCTTCAAATTTTTCTTGGATCGCCATTAGTGGACCATCCTTTTCAATCATGTCGCGGAAACCCAACATTTTCCTAGTAAACTTCCTTTTTGCGTTTCCTCGTTCTTGTTTCGCTGTTCGTATGTCCTTCGTTGTATCCGATGATCGTGGTTCCTCCTCTTCCTTCTTGTTCATTTTTGGTAATTTTAAGTTACTTTACTCAAATTACGTTATTCTTAATCAAGGTTTGTTCAAGTTTCAAAGAAGTCGTTATGACATTGAAGATGAAATGTAATATTCGTGTATAAACTCAAAATAAAACTGCAATGTGATGTAGAATTTGTATCAACACAAAGTAAGAAACAGAACAAATTTTCTTCGGATCAAAGTTCTTGCTATGTAACAAATTTCATCCTGAAACAAGACGAGACATTGATCAGCACAAATAATGGAAATTAATATAGCCAGAAAATTTAAATGACACATATTCACCAAAATAATCCTTACTTCATTGCAGCCAAAATTCAAAATATGTGGACCAAGAAGTCACGACAAATCTTGCGTAAAAATTCAAACATGATATTCTCGTGCGATACTCTTCATTCGCTTTTCGCTATTGCAGTTCTTGCAATACACTGACCTCATATGACCTTTAGGGAAAATCCGAGATATACAAGTTGTGAGACTCATAATGGATACTAGATCCTGCAAGTTTCATTTCCCTGTGACATCTCCTCTGGCAGTGAGGGCGTTGCGAAGTTGCGACATCTGAAGACCGTGCAGAGGTTCACTTATGACGTCATAGATCAGTGACCTGACCTGACCCAAAAATGCGGTTGGTGTCAAAAGATGCGGCTTGGATCAAAGGTCAGGTATGCCAAGTTTCAGCTCTCTATCGCCAGCGTGTTCGGAGCTATCGCGAAAAACCCTATGGGGGGGGGGGGCGGGCGGCACCCGCCCCCCCCTCGGCCGGCGAGGGTTAAATGGAGTCCAGCCTGTTTTGCCGACCGTCAAACAGTGATGAACATCATTGATGGGTTTTCTGAATGTCGAATGACGCTTGTTCAAACTGATTGTGACGCTTGGCCATCGAACAACGCAACGAGTTGTAGTCACGGAAGCGATTATGCATTGGGCGCTTTCCGTCTTGCATATGGCTCGGGGTCCACCGGGTTTGTTGGCCAACTTATCATTTCAAATTGTTCGCACATTTTCGGTGAAAGATTACTGATAAAACAATGAACCAGGATTACTTTTACAGGAAAAGTCGAGAGGGGAATAAAGTTCGGGGCAAGGGCGGATCCAGGGGCATCTGAAAGGGGGCCCAATGCCATTAGGTTTTTGTTAGGATGGCGCCTGCAGAACCTTACCTACCCCCAAATCCTACTCTCTCCCCGGATTCTGGCCACTTTATATTGTTAGGTTGCCAAAAAAATAAATTAGCTAAAAAATATACGTAGCCCGTAGGTGCCTACCTTGGCGGTAAGGGGCGGGGGAGGTCCCAACTAGACTGCGCCCTTGCAAATGTCAATCAGTAGTATCAACCTATTACCCTGGCCAAACATCAAGTAGCGCCCTTCTAAATAGAGAGAGGTTAACACGTGACTATTTTTGCTAGGCCAAGACCGATTGAAGAACCCTGGTTCGAAGGAAGACCATTGGTTCGAAGAGGTCATGACCCCCGTCCCCCGCCGGTTTCTACGCCGACGCCTGTAGCGATACGTCAGTGATTGCGAAGAGACGGAAGAGACAAGACAAGAGACGGTCCCACCGACCATCCGATCTGTATCGGGTCAAATCTGGAGTTCCCGCTGCACTGAACGTAAAATGGTTGGATGGAACCTCAAATTGAAAATTATCTAAGCGCCAGCAACGTTGATTGATGACTAGAGTCTGATCAACGATGATTATAGAATCTGAGTAGCGAATTGATTGAAAATGGGCTCAAAAATAAATTTGAAAGGGAAATTCCCCCTTCCCTCCCTAGCCGTTCACGCACAATTTGAAAGGGGGAGCGGAATTTTCGAAGGGGGGAAATTCCTCTTTTCCCCCCTTTAAAAGTTACCCTGCAATGAACCATTTTTATTTGTAAGCGATTAAATCGTGTATTTGAACTCTTTTCTCTGTCCGTTTACCGCTGTTCTCGAGTAGCTTTTAGCGCGCCGGCCGGTTGCGGTGGTCGGCCGTCGCCCGCTCGGCGCTGCGTTACGGTACGGCGGCCGGCCGTGGGCCACGCGTTTTTATCACCGGCAATACGCGTTTTTACTCCCGGCCAATTGTGTGAGGAGAGACGCAGTCGCGGTCATCGCTCCCACGCATAGGGCCAACGGTGTCTTCTGGGCGCTCGTGGGTGACGGGCGGAGACAGTGGACTGCACCGTCAGCAGCCGCAGCTCAAGAGGATCGCTTGCAGCGGTCCTCTTCTTGTCCGTTTCCGTCACCGCTGCTCTTCACGTCACACATAGACTTTAGCTCAACTCTGATGCTGGTCCTTCGGGAGAACAACAGCAACGAACGCATTGGTTTCAAGATGGACGTTCAAGATGCCACAGAGTACCTACATCAGATACGTGGGCGTGGACTGTTGACTGTCGTGCCATCGCGTCAGACATGTGACTGACGTTTTTCAGAGCCGAACCCGACACTGTAGCTGTGACTGACGTGTCTCAGAGCCGAACTAATACATTACGTGACTCAGTTGTCTCCGTCTGCGCCATCAGAGACGGACCAGGCGCTGTTCCAGCGGCGACTGCAGAAGTCGCTGCGATCCCACCCGGTTCACTGCTACCCTGGCAGTGTCAAGGAGTTTCTGCGCGGACTGGACGGACACATTGCCGACAACGGCCGACTCAAATGGGCCTTACTCTACACACAGGTAGGTCGTGGCGGCATCGACAGAACATTGCGTCTCCTTCCCTGTTCTCGTCAGATGGCTGACCCTTGGCTAGTTGCTGAGGTTACTTATTTCTATGCGATAACTGATAGGTGTGGTATTTGTGATAGCTGGCAGTTTCTATGTGACGATAGTGTGTGTGATGCGGAGACTCTTGGTTTAGCTGGTTTACCATCCCAAATATGTGTGACGTCTCTCTCTCTCTCTCTCTCTCTCTCTCTCTCTCTCTCTCTCTCTCTCTCTCTCTCTCTCTCTCTCTCTCTCTCTCTCTCTCTCTCTCTCTCTCTCTCTCTCTCTCTCTCTTCTCTCTCTTCTCTCTCTCTCTCTCTCTCTCTCTCTCTCTCTCTCTCTCTCTCTCTCTCTCCCCACACACAGACGGCGGTCGGGTGCTCGGCAGCGTCACGCGCCGGCCACCAGGACTCGCTGCTCCGTCTGCTGCTGAACGTCGACGAACTCCAGCTGCCGGTTGTTACCCTGCTGGTGGAGCGACTGCTGGAGGTGGCCTACAGCGTCAGGTGCGATCCTGCCTCCCGCCCTCTGTCCGCCCCTCCTCCGTCACTCTGCTGTGCTTGGGAACGGCACGGTTTTACGGTTTTATATCGGCTTGTTGTACTGTTGCTATGGGCTAGCCCAGTAGTAAGCAGAACACATCAAACCATTATCAAACCTATTAATGGCTGAACAAATTTTTAACGCTTTTAAATGTACCTAAAGCTTCTTTTCATGGTTAAAATTGCCTTCCCCCCAACAAACTGCCCGTCTAAAATACCACCCCCGGTCTCGTAGTCTCGCAACTCTGACAGTCCGTCCCGGTCCCGATTCCGGCAGCTCTGACGATGACCGCAGTCTACCACGGCTGGTGCTAGCTAACCTACAGCGCCTGGACCGGCTCACCAACCCAGCTGCCGTCTCCGAGAAAATGCTGGAGCTGCTGATCAGTGCCCCGCCAGAGGTACGGGTGCGGCTGTTTCTCCTTTATCTGGTGGCTCTCGGCGGGGCATGGCCTCGCGTTGGACTGTTTTTGTGCCCGCGATCACTTACTGTGACCTGTAACTTGTAATTGTAAGACAGCGAATGTTAGTACATACTTAAGTCTGCAAGTAAATGAGCAAGCATATGAGTGGCTTTGCAAACGAATGTTTTGTGAAAACCACTGAAATTATCACCTCTAGTTTTGTGACATTGCATACCCAGGACTTTTTGAATATTTCGGCTTTCGCAACTAATATTTTTTTAGTCTGGTAGTTTTCTCGGTTGTGCACGCCTGGAAATCAGTCTGAGGTCTGTTTGTAACATGCGAGTATATTTTTTTCAGGTTCAAAAGGACATCATTACGTTCCTTCCCGAAATAGTGGACGACTCGACGCACCCAAAGGTGGCTGAAGAACTATGGTAAGATAAACACGAGAATGCCGGCTGTCTAAGATTTTTGGCTCTTTGAGAATATCCATAGCCCCACTCCATATCCGAATATCATCAGCTAGTATCACGTCACGTTTTGTATCACCTGCTCTGTATCATTAGGCGTACCGCATTCCTCTACAATTATTAGCCCATCTGTACATTTCACCGTTCCCAAACTATGCTCATTTCGCAGCGAGACGCCAGCAGATGCTATATTCTCTTACGACTTCATAAAACGAGAGTGACGTTTGGCTCTCAGACTGACACCCAACGGCACGGTCTTCTAGAATTTCACATCCCGTCTTCTTAGAAACAACTTCTGTAAATGTGTAACCTACCCACGCCAGCTTTACCGTCGCCCGCTCCCACAACTCTTGACAAGTGCCCCGCTCCCCAGTAAACTCTACTACTCGTCTCCGGAGCTGTCGGTCACCATCCTGGACGCTCTGCCGGGTCTGCGTCTGTCGTCCGAGGCGCTGCTCGAGGTCAAACACTCTGTGCAGAAGACGGTGCAGGCGGCGCGGCCCGAACATCTGCCCGTGGTGGTGAAATTTCTGCTAGAGGATGCCGGCCGCGCTGAGGAGGTGAAGCATGACCGGCCTAAATGAGCAGGCTTTGATTGACACCGCAGGGGGATGGAATGGGTCGCACACTGTGAGGGAGAGCTGTGTCCGCTCCGCTGACCTCTGGCATGTGGGCTCTGGCCTTACGACATCTGATTGGCCTCTGACGCTGTGAGATCCGACTGTGGCATCCGATCTGTGACCTCTATGACCTCGACTGACTGACGTGGACTCTGGCCCTGCGGGCTCCGACCGTCTTACCCGTGACCTGTGTCTATCCATTTGGACTTACTACCCTGTTATCTGGGCGCTGTTCGGTCGCATTTTTTATCAGCAGGCTGCGAGCATGCTGCTACTTCTTGGCTCCTCATTGATCGAATTCAAGTGGTCTATTCATTATACCAATGAGAGACCAAGAAGCGCCAGCAATAACTTCCTTATATGGGAAAACCGACAGCATGCTGATATAAAAACAGCGACCGAACAGAGCCCTGGTTACCTTTGACTACAAGTGCACTACCCTATGATCTGGCTACCTCCGAGTCCGACCCCATGACCTCAGTCTCATGACCTCTAAGTCTCAGATCTCTGACACTGACTGACGTATTTCAGCTGATTGCCGACCTGCGCCGTCGTATACGACTGCCTCCTCCAGCCGAGCAGTCAGCGGGAACGTCCGGCACCCAGGGCCCCCACAGCGCCTCACACGAGATGGCGCTGCTGCAGAACATCCGCTTCGCGTTCCAGGTGGATCGGCGCCAGCACACGTCCTGGCTAAAGGTAGTGGCGACGCCGATCAGACGTCTGTGTTTTTCCTGTCTGTAAGTCTGTCTGTCTATCAGGCCTGTCTTTCGACCCGTTCGCCCGTTCGTTTAGCTGGCTCTTACCACAACTGTCTAGGTACTTGCCCCGATATTTGTAGTTTTTTTTTTTATAAACATTTCTCCCGGTCCCGGTGCTTACGGGTGCTTACATGACACTGAAATACATCATAGCTCTTAACATATGCCTAATGTACACGGCTCACGTTGATCAGTGTAGTCCCCTATCCCTCCTGGCTGTCCGTGTGACTTTGCACCATACCTCTCTCAGGCTCTGGACGGTATCTCGCCGCCGGAGGTACACCACCCGTTGGACGTGCTGCTGTTGCTGCAGCTCCACGACACGGCACCCGCCCGCCAGCGGCTCGTCGAGGGCGTCCTCAAGAAGAAGGTGCGCGCGCGCGTCTTCAGCCGGGAGGTGCTTCAGCAGACGTTCGAGGCGCACTCTCAGGTGAGACGATAGGGGGTACAAAGTTCTCTGACGACTCTGTGTTGGTCGTTGGTCGACCCTGTCAGTGTCACCCTGATCGCCTTGTAGGGTGACTAACAAGTAACAACCTTATTATGTTGTCCAACGCTGCGGTGCAAAGACAAAAACGATTACGTTGGGTCAGAGGTCATTACGTCAGGTCACCCTTGTCATTGGGTGACTGGCTGTCTTGTGTGGTGACTGACAGCCCTGTAGGAGGACTAAGGGCTCTGCTTTGGACTGGCCGCATCGTTGAATGAGGACGCTGTTGTTGTTGAGGACCCCGTTGAGCACGACCCTGATACGTTACTGATCGACCCTATTTGGTTAGTATCAAGTCCTGATGGGTAACCACCCGGCGGCTCAGTTGTAGGGCCATGTAATAGGTATGGTCCTCTCCTGTAGGGTGATTGACGGCTAATCTGTTAAACTACTGGTGGCTCTGTTACTGTTTAGCCACCGGCGGGCCTGTTTAGCTCTAACTGACGGCTCTGTTGAGCCAAGTTATCCGACGCCCCCGGTCGGAGACTAACCGGTTCCGTGTGCCGCTGGCAGACGCTGAAGCAGTTTATCTCGACTCTGCGCCGACTGGCCGCCTTCCTCCTGCGCTGTACCGAGCCAGTTCTGTCAGCGTATGGCACCGAGATGTACAGGTGAGGCGACACGAGGCGAGCACCCACGGAGCGGCAACGGTGCGGATGGCACGGTATTGCCTCCTGGGGCGGATATATTTACCGCGATCTCTGTGGTTGGGTCTGGGGACTTTTTGATTCTGCTGAGATGATATGTTTCTCTCAGGTGACCTTAAGTGACCTCTGATGACCTCTGTTTGCGATGGTGGTGGATGGTCCCAACTTTTTTCAATGGTTTAGTGACGACCCGATTTGTACTCTCGCTCCCTGCGATAACATTGCCTGCATTGCACATCATAAGGGAATGAGTCGCCTTCGGCGGCCGAAGATCCGTCGTTTGGCGACCCTTCCCCCAGTTAGCTGTCCCTCAGTAATATATGCTGACCTCAACTCTCCCCACCTGCTCAAAAGTCAGCGTTCTTCTCCTTCTCCAGTTACCAGCCCCTCCCCAGTGGCCAGTACTGACCTTAGCTGTCCCCACTGCCCACAGATAAGCGCTCGTCTCTTTCTCTGGCTACCAGCCCCTCCCTTAGTACTGACCTTAGCTGTCCCCACTGCCCACAGGTTAGCGTTCGTCTCGTTCTCTGGTTACCAGCAGCAGGAGGTGGTGGTGGGCTTACTGTCCCATTCTGCTGACCCGCCGACAGTGCGACAGGCCGCCCTCCGGCTCTGTCAGACACTGGCAGAGGAGAACACGGACGCGCTGGCTCGCTACTCGGCCTTCCTCAAGGTGCCGCGCAGATATAAGAGCCGTACCCGGACTGTTGAGACCACGCCGGTGATGATAGTCTTCGATTTCCGTCACTATGATGCACTTAATACATGACAGAAGGCTAGACATAGCTTGCTATTGCATATTCCTGAATTAACGTCGCATAATTTTCACCGCTATGACAGTATCGCTACTGCTGATAATTGCTCAAATATATATAGCTGAGTTTATTCCTTTCAGAGTTGGCTGGAGCCCCTGGGGCAAACGTTTGACCGACTGAATCCCTGATACCGACTTCTCGTTCCCCTCAGAGCTGGCTGGACCTGCTGGAGCAGCTGACGCTGCCCGGGCCATGTGACTGAGTCTTCCCCCCCCCCTCATCCTCAGAGCTGGCTGGACCTGCTGGAGCAGCTGACGCTGCCCGAGGCGCGCCAGCTGATGGAGGTGCTCAGCACGCTGGCGTTCCGCGCGCCGCACGAGGCCGCCACTGTCGGCGACGAGCTCAAACTGATGACGCACAAACAGCTGGCCAGCTCATCCTGTCGGTCAGTGACGTCAAACACTCAACAAACAGCACACATAGCTAGCTACAAACACTAGCAGCAGCTCACACTACAAGCGTCTGCCCGTTGTCAATGCGTGTCTGTAAGCGTGTGTGGGCGTGTGCTGGCCAACTGTCCCAGTCGCTACCTTGTTCACTGAGGACACGTCTCCGGCTCCCCGGCCTCCGCCAAGTATAAGTGTCTGGGTGTCGTCAGTGGGTATTCTATTCGTGTGTGTGTGTGTGCGTGTGTGTGGACAAACTGTCCCAGTTGTTATTCCTTTTACTAACTGACGTCTTTGGCTCCTTGCCCGCCAGGTACAAGCGTCTGGGTGTGGTCAGCGTTCTAATGGCCATCAAGTGTCGCCAGAACAGCGCTGACTCGAGCGATGCGACCACGGTCTCTGACGATAGCCAGGTAAGGGCTCGCCGGACGCTGGAACAACTGAAGCAGGGAATGATGCCGTCTCTGGGGTAGGGTAGGGCCTGATTGTGACAAGGCGAGAACTGGTTTGACTCTAGGGAGAGTTATAGACTAACTATATAGCTTAGTCCTTGAGAACAGCGGCAGACTATCTTTTCCAAGACCGAGGCCTATATAGCTGTCTGTAAAGAGTTAAGAGAACGCCGGACTGGACGGGTGGACAGGGGAGGGATTCATTTTCTGAAATACGGGCAAGTGGCAAGTGGAGCCACTGTGATGGTGCCTGCAGGTATGACTCGTCTCAGCTGATTGCCGGTAGAACCTCTCCAACCGGTATCTCCCGTGTAACTCACCCCCGCCGTGTTCTCCGCCTCAGTCGTCAGAGATCGTCCTGACCTCGGCTGGCCAGCGGGAGACTGCCCAGCTGCTGCAGCTCGCTCAGACGGCCGTGGCGGGAGCGGCCGACGCGCGCGGACTCCTGCTCGACGAGCTGGCCAGTCTGGTGTGGCGCGCCGGCATCCACCCCAAGATAGAGCGATGGATTTGTGACCAGCAGATTGACGAGTGAGTAATGCCGCCGAGCGGTGCTGGGCAGCCATCTGAGGAGGCCGGTTCCCTGCCTGGGGAGGCACTTTTTCTGGGTGATCGTGTATGACAGCACATTGGGCCATGTTTATTCCGCGTGATCACGGTCATGCACCATGTTTCCCTGCGTGATCGCTCTCGTAGGTCATGTTTATCCCTGCTTGATCGCGGTCCAGTGCCGATCCCATGTGACGCAACCCTCGCCTAAGAAGTATAATGTGGCTTTATCTCCTGTGTCAGATTTACACCACAGTGTAACTTTTCTCTCCTTTGTCAGTTTCCAGGAGACGTATGTGGTGGACCTGCCGGATGGCGACCCTCAGTGTGACGGCCTCTCCGTCTCGCTGCAGTACGGCCTGGAGGAGGCGGACGTGGGGGAGATCGCACTCAACCTGGCTCCGATGGCACTGAACCGGTAAATACTGCACACAGGGCAGCTGACACAGAACTCAGACCGAACGGCGGCTAGAAGCCGCCATGGAGGAAGCATTTTCTGATGTCTGTCTAATGTGTAGTAATATGCATGTTTTTCTTCTGCCTTTGTCTCTCCCATCCTCAAACTTCGCTAGCCAACAAGTTTCCTAGGTGTTATTATTTACTGACTAATCTGACGCGATCGCTTGGTGTTCTAAGGTGAAGCCGAATCCAGCGGACTGCGGTATGCTTATTACGTGTCTTATGCCTGAAACAGACTCTTTCCACAGTCAGGAAATCGCATGCGAGAGCCTATTCAAATACATGGAAGCACACTCGCATCAATCGCACGCACCTCCCGCAAGCGATTGATGCGAGAAGAATTATAATGTATTTGAATAGGCTCTCGCATGCGATTTCCTGAACGCGGAAAGAGTCTGTTTCAGCCTTTAGACGTGTGACTCGCACCCTGACCCCTGCCACCTGCCTGTCTGACCCTCAGACCCGAGCAGTTAGCCACGCTATGCGCCCAGTTCCGCCTGCTGCGCCTCTGCGTGGCCTCCCTGGATGGCGGAGACATGAAGAAGTTGGACGCGCTCCTCGGCTGTCCGGTGATACTGCCGGCTGATCTAGACCCGACGACCGTCGGCGCGCTGCCCGTGCCCGCCCGCCACGCCATCCTGACGGCACTCTTCCACTGTGTCAACTTCTTCCGGGAGTTGCTCAACGCCTTCTCCACGCAGAAGGACCAGGAGCTAAAATTGCGGGTGAGTGGTGTGAGGTGAGCGTAAAGTGGGCCGTGGAGGGTGTTGGTTTGCCTTCTGGTGCCGGGAGTGACAGTCATGGAAAGGAAAGGGAGACTAGAGGGTGAGAGGCGGGCGTTTGGTGCCCTGAGGTTTTGTGAGGGGGCGGGGGCTGGATAGAGAGAAAGCAAGCATGCAATGGCGTACAGGCTGCTGCTGCTGGCCTGAGACCATCGCCGGCGGGCAATGGTGGGCTGTACGGGCCGGCCGGCTGCCTCTGGCCGGCGAAGGTGTAGTATGGGTGCTGAGGTGGATCTGCGGTCCGCTGAACTGTTGTGCCACTCCATGACTCCAATCCCGTGTGCCGGTGTCTTCTGCGGACCACTCTAACTCTCCCCCCGTCCTCCCGGCAGTGTGTCCTGCGTCTGCGCGCCGTGCTCCAGCTGGAGACTCAGATCGCTCAGCTGCTGCCGCTGGTGCCCGGCTTTGTGCCGCCGGCCGCCATCTTTGACTCTGATGTGCCACCGCCGACACCGCCGGCCGCCGGCAAACGGCAGAAGGCGCCGGCCAAGCGGTTAGTAAACGAGCTTTTTGTGACCTTCCCTCACATCTGCTGGTTACGGTAGGGGTGGGGTGTATGTCACGCATAGTCAGGGCGTCAATTACTTGTTGACTTGGATGCATTAGTGTCTGTTCATTTAGCCAGCTTTGTTGGCATTATTCTTCAAATGACCCACGAACTATAGCTATTAAGGGCCAGTTCATTTTGAGCCAGCACCTCTCGAGCTCAAGACCTGACCGAAGTTTCGGCTCCTATCCCCAGTAAGGGCAAGGGTGGCAAGTCGGGCCGTCCGGCTGCGGCCGCGGACGCCTCTGTCAACCAGAGCACAGCTGTGTCTCAACCGGAGCCCACCCAGGCTCCCTCCGGCGGCGGCGCGGGCGGGGGCGGCCTGGCCGGCTACCGCGCCTTCCTGCGAGAACTCGACATGGACGTCTACCGTCTCCTCTACCGTCGGTTATCCCTCACCGAACACACCACGGAAAAGTTCTGTCTGCGCCCCTCCGAGCTGCTGCTTCTGCTCGATGACCTGGCGCTCAAACTGGAGCGCCGCCTGTCCCCCAGCGGTGGCGGGGCACTGGCCGCCATGCACGCGGCTAATGGGGCCCGCGGCCTGGGCTTCTCACACCTGGACCTGCTGCCGGAGGCCAGTGTGGCGCGCCAGGCGGCCACGCTGCTGAAGCCGCTCAGCGTCATCGCCGACAGCATCGTCGGCATGTTCAGGGTGAGACTGCCGACGGGAGAGGAGTGGGGTGGCGTGGTGGATGACATGCGGCGGGTCCTGTTGTGTTTGTGTTTGTGACGTGCATTTGCTGTTCCATTCTCATTGACGTTTGTCGTGTGCTTCAATAACAGTTAGTGATCAGTGTTTCAGGTGCTTACCTTGGTGTGTTGTGTTCGTTGTTTAGTCCTACGACGTGTATCCAGCTGCTCAGCCTCCCTGAGGGCTCTCCGATGTTTCAGTTTCAGTCAGAGTTGTCAGGTGTCTCAGTCTCTGTGACGTGTTTTCGTTGTTTCAGTATCTCTGACATGGATTTTCAATGTTTGTCTTTCTGACGTATTTTCTCTCTTTCAGTTTCTCCGACGTTTGTTTTTGCTCCAGTCTCTCTGAGGTGTGTTTTCCCGTATTTTCAGTCTCAGATAGCCGACAATGATGGCGTCCTGGACGGTCCGGGGATGTTTAACGAGGAGTCGGGCCGGCTGTCCACCTGTCTATCGGCCGTGTACCGCATCATGGCCACGCTGCTCTCCTGGCCGGGCCTGCACGAGCCCGCCAACAAACAGCTGGCCACAGGTGGGTCCGGCGCGCACCCCGGTCCCCGTCCCCGCCCGCGATAGGTGACCGACAGTTGGCACTGTAGTGTGGGACACAAACTTTTGGAAAAAGGGTCATCCGTGGTATAGCGGCCTTGGTATAGCGTACCATTTTCTGCAATCATGGGATCAACCTCAGCGCCTGCAGCTGGTCCAAACGTTATATTCAGTTTTGTCACTGCTGTATGTAAAGTCAATATCGGTGTTGCGCTACTACTAATGTTGCCACTTTTCTGCTACACCCCGGTCTCTTTCCCCCGTTAGGCACCCCTCCAAAGACACCTTTCTGACCTCTAACTCGTCTAAGACTTCCTCTGAGTTCTGACCTGCCCTCCCTTCTTCACCGGCAGAGGCGGTGGGAAACCTGCGTCTGACCGACACCGGCCGCAGCCAGGCGGCGCCCAGTCAGCCGCAGTCTCAGCAGCCGACCACTCGCGCCTTCAGCCTTCTGGAGCAGCACGCGGCGTCTGTGCCGCAGATCGAGTGTGCGGCGAACCTGGCGCGCACGCTGGCGGCGCTGGCGGAGCTGTCGGCGGAACCGCGGCTGCATGAGACGCTCGGTACTATGCTGGAATGGGGTCGGTGTTTCCTAGGTCGAATATCGTTGCATCGAGTGGTCGCTAATGCCGGCACAGTGTGTCATGTGTGCTGTAATGCATGGTCATTCGCAAGGTTCTTCGAATGTTAGAACCACTTTTCGTTTAAAGTTTTTTTTGTCAAGTACCCCTGTTGACTGTAAATTGCGCGTATTATAACAACTCCCCTTCCCCGCTCCTCAGCCGACTGCGCCGAGTCACTACTGAAGCGGGAGTGGTTCTCTGCGGACGGCGCGCGCGAGTCGGGCGCCGCGTACGGCGGCCGGGTGTCCGCCCTGCTGCAGCTGGTACTGGCTCCCGCCGACGGACGCCTGCTGGAGCGGCTCGAGAGGCTGGCACAGACGGCGCTGGCCGAGCTGCTGGACTCGACCGGACGGGAGCCGGCCTCAGAGACCTACCCGACGCTGGCCAAGTGAGTGGAAACACACAGAGATTCTTACCTTCCACACAGACACACCTACTAAGACATACTCCCAGGTGAAACTCAATTCCTGCTGCATTTGGAAGTTCCTCTTTATACAGTTCGCATTGCCACTCTACCCTTCCGGGGCACCTCCGCACAGTCCACCCGCTGACCCACCCACCTCTCTGACCCCAGATCGACATTCGGCCACTACTACCGCGTCATGTTCGCCGCCCTGGTGGAGGCGATCCGCGGCGTGGTGTCGGCCGGCGGCTCGGAGCGCGGGCGACTCGACCGGTGGGCGGCGGCTCTGCGCGTCTTCAACCAGATGGTCGGCTGCCTGCGAGTGTTCAGCAGTCGGAGCGCCGTGGGAGTCTGTTTGAAGGTTAGTGGGGATGGCTGCCTGGTGTGGCGAATGTGGTCTGTCATGTGATGGAGTTGCTTGCCCTCGTGTGGCCGATCTGTCGGTCGACAGGACAGATCGACATTTCTTTGTTCGTGTTAGGGGTATTTAGACGATTGAATGTAGTGGGATTTGAATGCATACAATTTGATCGAATTGACTCCATCAAGCGTACGGAAGTTCGTGGGGCGACTCTTCAGATAATTTCCAGCCTCTGTAATCATTGTATGTAAGCCTACTTACCATCGTTTTTTATAAATAAGTTTTCTCGAGGGCTTTCGGCCTCCCCGCGCCACTCGTTACCACAGTATCTACCGTTCGACCACGATGACGAACCGTCGTCATGGTCGCTGAATGTTGTCTCCAAAGAATCTCCTGCTAACCTCTGCGTCTCTCCGACACACTGAACGCAGTGATAACTCTCCCGCCGTCTCTGCCCGACAGCACTCTCGGCGGCTGGTCGACCTGTTTGTGCGCCACGCCATCCCCATGCTGGAGCTCATGCTGAAGCACCAGCGTGACGAGGTGCTTACCATTCTGAAGAACTTCCAGCTGAGCGCCCGGTACTTGCACCACGTGTGCAACCACTCCAAGGTGAGTGTCCCTCCTCTACTCCTCCCTACCGCGGGAGGAGGGACTGCTCTTGGTGTGGTCCTCCCTCGGAGTTCAACGGGTCCTTTTCGAAAATAACATGCTTACATATTTTTTTTTCATTTTGAAACAGATCCTTTGGAGGCGTTTTTGTTTTGTATAATTTACGGGTTCTAAGGAATGCTGTCGGGTCTACGGTTGCATTATTCGTGTAGGCATTCACGCATGTGTGATGAGCTATTAGTCCGTTCTAGTTATCTGCCACCCGCAACCGAGTGTGATACTGAGCTGCAGGGATCATAACCCTGCGCTGTCTGCGTGTGTTCCAGAGTCTGAAGGACGCCAGTCTGATGAACCACGTGCCCTACTTGAAGAAGGGTCTGGAGTCGTTTGTGTTCCGAGTCAAGGCCATGCTGGCACTGAATGGCTGCTCGGATGCCTTCTGGATGGGCAACCTGAAGAACCGCGACCTACGCGGCGAGGAGATTTTCTCCCAGGTAAGGAGAGGACGGGGTCGGAGCGATAGGTCCCATCTACTCTGTCAGTGGGTCCAGGGCCCCACTGACACTTAGGTCAGTTATAGCGCTATACCCACTGCTTTCCTTGTCGCTGTGTGCCAGACTCAACTCTTTACTGCATGAAGGGGCGGCATTGTGGCTCTCCAGTGTCATGCTTTGAGGCTTATTGTAATGCACAGACCGATGCATGGCATCTTCTACATATGCACTTAACTGTTTGCATATATGCATGGGGATGGGCAATTTGCATATGCAATATGTATGTATAATGTATATTGTTGTTTGTACCTATTTATGTATGCTAATTGCTAGGATACACTCAACTGTTCCCTGCCGAGCACTTTATGTATGCATTTATTTATATATTTCTTATATGTATCTTCCGCAGCGCTCTGAGCCGGACGACTCTACCGAGGCTGCCGAGTCTGAGGGCGAGGGCGCCGCCGACTCGGACCTCGACCTGGACGCGGCCGACGAGCGCTCCTCGCCCTCGCCCGCCTCTCCCGGGCGAGCGGCCGACGGAGAGGAGAAGCCCGAATCGGAGATAAGTGACGCCTACTGAGCAGTGGACGGGAACGGTCGCAGGTAGGCGACAGTGGGGGCAATGAGCGGGCAACAGTTGAGCATCGAGCGGGGAATGGCCGAGCAACGATCAGGGCCAGCGTCCGGGGAATGCTTGGGCAATACTCGGGATGGAGTAGACACCGAACGGTGAATGGTCGGGCAACGGTCGGCCGAAGCTGGAGGATTGAGCGACCCTCGAGCGAGCGATGGTCGGCAAGTCAGTTCTGAATGCGGGGTGATAATCTGTGTACAGTGAGGATTACTGACACGGAAGTGTTTTGTGCGTCTGCTTGTTTCATCTGAGCATTTGTATCATAGAAGCATTGCTATGTACTTCTTATACATACATTCTTATTTCCACTTTCCCTGTCTCCGTCGCGGAATAATTCTCGGAACGTACAGAGCTAGTTATGGCTGTCCAATGCACATGGTCAGTTGGCAAATGCACAGACATGACAGGCGTCAGTTAACTGTCAGCTCTGGTGCGAGGCTCATCTCTAGAGATTCTCAGACAGGCACGCTACACGTTTAGGTTAGGTGGGCCGCGGGGTAATGTGATCATTACTGTGAGGAACTTTTCAAGACTGGACTCGAGGCCGTGTTCTTTGAGGCTGGGATCCAGGAGCTGGTTTCAGCGGTGGATTCTGGGGATGGATTCTGAGGCTGGAGTCATGGTTAATTTCCAAGGGTTTGGTAGTTCCATTCTCAGCCCTATTACTGTTTTCCCAGTCCGGCCAGTGCGATCGGTTGCGTTAGTCCGGCAGTCCCAATCCTGACTGGAGAGTTAAAGGGACTGTCCCAACTTCTAAAATGTTGTTAAAACCAGTTAAATTGTGCCCGACTTTATAGATTGGATGACCAGGAACACGGTTCTGGCATTTATTTTTCATTAAACATCTTAGGCTTCCCATATTCCAAACACAAACTTTCAAATATGTGACGTCACAGCCCAAAATTACCTCCTTCCCCAGGCCACATTACTGTCATAAAGCTGATTCTTTTTACTCTGTAGGCACCACAACAAAGTTCAGACCAAGTTTTAAGCGATTTTTCAACGAACAAACCCATTTAAATCAGAATGACTAAACGAGGTGACGTCACAGTAACGGTCGCTCCATGTTGAAGATAGGGCCTTGCACAAGGCCCATTTTCAAATGAAGGGAACGAATTTCTTCAACACCAAGAGGCCGCGGGGGTTGCAACCTAGATAGATAGTGGTTTCTGAGCCTCGCCGCAAACTTGGCTATCTCAACTCAAACCCCATGTTAAAGGTGGGATAGTCCCTTTAAGGCATTCCCAAGTCATGCCCTTTACCTGTTCCCTTTAACCCGCGCCCTGCTGGGGGGGGGGGTGTTTGAACACCCCCCTTGTGGTTTTTCGCGAATATCTCAAAAACGGCGGCGCTCCGCGCCGCCGTTTTTGGTACACCTTAGCACACATCAATTCTACACATGTTGTGAAAATTTCAGACCAAGGTCATTGAAGGTCAGGTCACCAGGTCACTTGAAGTGACCTCACCTCATAAAAAGTTTCAATGTCTGTCATAGCTACACCGAGTGACCAATTGCTTTGAAACTTTCAGCGATTGCTAAGAGCAATAGCATGTACAAAATGTATATCTCAGAATTTTGATATCGATGACCTAAGGTCAGGTCAATTTTGCGACCTCCCCATTATAAGTCAATGGGAGAAAATTGAAATGCGCCGCTTTTGGACAAAAGACATTATAAACACTCCCAAACACCGAATTACAAGTGGTTTAGACACACTGAACATGAAAATGGTGTCCATGACCCTTGTTTATGCCCTGAGGTCATCTTAGGTCATGAATGGTATTTAACAGTTTTTCGCAAATAACTTTTGATAGAGGCATGCTAGAGCGATGAAAACGCCTTAGATGTGTTCAGCTCGACGATAAGGATCGACTGATATGCAACATGACCCTTTCCGGTCAGGTCATGACCTTGACCTGAGGTCAAATTTTCAAGTTGACCTTTCAAGGTCAACTTATAGTTCATTCGATGCGTCTTGACGAGAGGAACACAATGCCGGTAAAAGTAAGCTCGTACAAGGCTTGGGTCAAAAGTTATTGCAGAAAAACTGTTTCCGAAAAAATCGGCTATTTTTGCAATTTTTGCCCCCTGCAGGCAAAACCGTTGACGTTAGGTCAAATCTGAGAGAATTACTCAGAAAGGGCTTTAATAGGGCTATCGAATGCGCTTTTCCGCGGCGCTGTAGCTCTATTGGTTCTCGAGTTATGCGTTGGCTTCTTGGAAATTTTCGACATTCGACCTGGAAATCGGCGACATTTTGCCTTCAATGACCTCTGGTGACCTGACCTTTGACCTGACCAAAAAATTGACCGAAGTGATTTCGTCATTATTTTTGACGCTCTTTCGAACGCCGCCTTCCGCGTATCGCTACGTGGCCCAGGAGCCGAGTTACAAGGGGGGGGGGGTGTTCAAACACCCCCCCCCCCAGCAGGGCGTGGAAATCCAGGACCCCCAGCCGGGCGCGGGTTAATTGCCGATTAACTGTCGTCTTCTCTTCCCGGGAGCTAATTAGGGTGTCTGTTAAGCGCTGTCTGATGTAAATAGCTGGCACGAAAAGGGGCTCGTTCGTTTATGGCGTCATGCTTCCAAGGTGACTCGGCGAAAAAAAGAAAATGATGCAAGACTGCTGGCTTTATTTGCACTTTAATTACACAGTTTTCCGAACAATCGTGATGATGATCTAAACTCAAAAACCTTAGAAGTCCTTGTTCATTTCATTTAGAGGTATCCTGGATGCCGGGTGGTCGCTCCCAAGCTACTCCAGTTGCACCGAAGTTACCCAACAACACTGCATCCAAACTGCATGACGGAGATGTCCACTTACAGGAAGGCATTATAATTCTCAGACTACATTTAAAACCGTTTATTGTTATGCAAAACAATAAATGACATTGCACTTCACAGGTTAATGATCACAGCTAAAATGGCTGTTTGGTTTGTCGGCTGTCGCTCGCTGCATGCGGCGCCGCTATCCAGCAGGACCCGTGACATAAGTTATGGCACGGTCACCCTCAATTATTGGAGTTTTAATTTCTGGGCGCCGACGCCAAGATACTGGGCGTTTCCCTTCCGCTCCTACTGAGACCGTGTCGGTAGAAGCGCGATGTTCACCCATACCGTCTCATACATAAACGGCAGACAGCCACCGGCGTACTTCTGGCACGCCACAGAGTGGACGCTGTGGGTCATCAGGAACCCGGCGTCCCTTAGCTTACCCAGCGCCTCGAGGAACCGGCGGGCTCCCTCTGCACTGACGTGCGGCGCCACCTCTGACTGCTGTATCCCCACTCCGGATGTCAGCTGCCCGTACGGATGGGTGAGATGCAGCTCGAGCGCCAGCTGACGAACCTGCCGCAGCGTGGCGCCGGCGGTCAACAGGACCTCCCACTCACTCCCCTCGACATCCAGCTTTAGGTAGTCTATGACGCCCGTCTCCAGACCGGCTCGTGCCGCGGCAGAGGCCAGGCTGAGCACGGGAAACGTGCCGCTGTGGCCGTCGGCGGCGGCCACGCCCTCCGCGTGGAAGAACACCCGCTCGGAGCGGCGGTAACTGTCGCGACCCATGGTCGGGTCAAACGCGTGTACCGTGCAGCCGAGGTCAGACATCTGGTCGTCGAAGCTGAAGTCGTTGTTGATTCCAAATGAGAGCACGGAGCAGTTGGCGTGCAGCCAGTCGAGACAGGTGGGTTTCACGCCGTCCGTCTGTCCCAGCACGGTCTCGTTGTTGATCATGCAGTTGAAGCACCGGCCGCCGAGACCGCGCTGACTGTGGCAGAGGGACTCGGCGGGTAGTGATTCCAGCTCCGTCTGCAGCCGGGTGAACAGAGCGTCGGACCGACTGATGGAGAGGGCGGCGGACGACCGACCCTTGGTAAAGGGAGCGGCGGCCGGCGCTGGCGGTCTGTGTATTGATGGCGACCCCCTGCCGGCATACGGGTATAGTTAAACTGGGTACACACAAAACATCAGGATGCAGTCGTAGCAGATTCAGACTGACACACAGGGCGTGGCTGTTAGACAAACTTTGAAAAGAAGGCGGAGTTAATGACTAGATTTGCGGAGCATTTTAATCTTTTAAATGCTTTCCCTCTATTTTCCAACGTTAGTTGCAACTGAAAGCCATTGGGTCATCTAATTTTAACACCAATCATCCAATGATTCGATCTCTGATGTTCAGTGCCCACTCACCCGAATGTGTTCTCCAAAGAAACTGCCAAATAAGTAGCGACGCCAGTGAAAAGTATGATCGCGTAGAGCGACCTCGCCTTGGTCTTACGGATGATACTTTTCAACTGCCGATGCATGTCTTGCCGGATAGTGCTTTGTAGTAGAAATTAATTGTCTCTGTTTGAGACGAAAACTAATGATTCAGTCATGAGTTCATCCTGTGGGGGAAAACGAAATGTCAGTCGGTCCTAAGAAGACAAATGACAATTTAGCGACAATCTACTTCAGCCTGCATTTTGTCGAAAATCTCAGGTTTCCATGACCTGATTTCTGAGCTTTCTGAGACATGACCCAATGATTTACCTTGTAGGTTTACCAATGAGTTACCAGTATACGTAATAAATGAAATATGTGAAACGAAAACAACTTGACGAGACAAGTTTATTTTAGATAAACAAGTTTATTTTAGATTTTAGATAACAAGTTTATTTTTAGATGAAATTGCTCTTGGAACCGCTGAACACCCTCAAAAATGGCGCTATAATGTTGGAATTCGTTTACAGCCCAAATACTACATGTTATAGAAATTTTTAAAGGGAAGTAAAAGTTGCTATTTTCTAACGAAATTCACCTTTTATTAATTTTGAATAAAACTAAGAGGGGGAAAATTTTGACATTTGTTCTCGAGTTAGTTCTACCGATGACAAATGAATAGAGACTAAAGTTATTTCATTCACTTTTATCAGCTTTCGTACAGGTGGGGGCGGCCAATTTACACCACCGGCCAAATTACCCCACTCTCCCCTACATAGCAGCACAGGATTTTTATCCATCAGCAATGCAAGGCATTACATTTAAATCCGTCCCTACTCACGTGGTTCGAGCGGAGGTCCTTCCAATCAGGCAGCCGCTGTATGGCCGGTGTGCTGCTGACCGGACCGCCCGTTCTCTGCTCTCCCGTCCCTTGGAGAGGCCGGCGCGGCCCGTGCACCGCCGCCGCGGGCGCCGTGCAGGTGAATGACCCGCCCGCCCCTGGCGGTCGTTAGTGAACGGGCTCACGGCCGGCGGACGGGCGGCAGGCTGTGGCGAGAGGAGCGGTGCAGCCGAGATGCGGCGGAGAGGGCCTCCGTGGAGCGGCCC